ATTTAAGAATTTCTGGAATTTTTAATTTCCAAAAAAAAAAAAGATTATAATCACTTATCATTTGGTACATATTGATCTGTCAACTGATTGGTGAAACTGTTTACGTTTACCTTACGTTTTAGCACAACTGTGTGATCCTCCTCACCTAATCTCAGCAGAGAACAACCACTAAATGCAACTTTAGTCTTAATACAATTTTGGTTACTTTGTTCTCACATCTACAGAAACACAAAAATGCACAGTCTTGCTTTATATGCACAGACAAGGCAGAAATGAGCGATGGAGAGCGGCCTCTTCATTGAAAGCCCGCTGTTACACAAACTGTGATTACCAGCTGTGATTTCCACCTTCAATTTGTTTTAACCTTTTCAAACATACAGACGCTCATTTAATTTTAATCAAAACCGATGAGGTGGCATGGAATCAATTAAATCACATTGTTGCCGCGCTTACAACAGTGTGACTCCCTCCCTACCCCCAGCTTCTGCTCTTCTCTTTGGCCCCATCTCCCTCCATCCTCACACTTTCCTCTGGATGGTTCTTGTATATTGCTGTATCCATTTCAGCCATGCCTGCAGGGCAATCCTGTCGCAGTAGATTGTGGGAGAGATGTGTTGGTAATCTGATTTGGTCTCCTCAGGACCTGAATGAGTGATCAGCCTCTGTGGATGCGAGCTGGACACAGGCCTCATACGGATTGGGGACTCACCGTGCCAAGCTGGAAGGAAAGGTCAAACCCGACAGGCCTCACTCCTAAATTAATGTGACTCAACTTTGGGCCTCAATTTAACCGAGCTGCCTTCTCGGGCAAAATCAGAACCAGGAATCAGTCTTGGCGGAGTTCCACTCTGCAAACTGAAATCCATCTGAAATCCATTTAGTGTATTTCAAAAAGTTTAAGGATGATTTTTATGTTGCGCTGACAGGTTTGACTTTCAGTGTACAAGGCAAAGACTCTAGTCCAAGCAACATCCCAAATATCATGTTTTAACATCTACAAATGCACACCATATCCAAATCCACATTTTGCTCATGTAACTCCAGAAACAACAGAATAGTCTAATTCATCTGCTTTTATGTAATGTTAATAACATGAAACAAACATGAAAAGTCCCCAGCTTTGTTATTGCAAGGATGTTTTAGGAATCTTACATAAGAGGAAGAAATCAAAATAACTTCATGTTCCTATAGAATCGACTTTCCTGATTATAAAAACAGGATACCTGGGTGTGTGTATACATAGTCATCTGACCCTCCTTCCTATGAGTGACGAACATGGACATAAGGTTTCAAAAACACAGTATTAACGTTAGCTTACAGGTCAGAGGAGTGCACAAAAGTTCTGGCAAGAAGAGGTTGGCAAGCTGAAATGCTGGAAATGTTTGGATGAAAGTACGTAAAAGGTATTAACTCTTTTACCCCACCCAAGCTTGAAATTAGGCCTTAAAAAGATAACATGTAGGAAAAATGATAAAGGCTTTGATCTCTGGTCCACTACAAATGCTTTGTTCTTCCTGGTTGTATCAATTGTAAAGTGGAGATCTTTTCCACTGATTTGGCATGGCATAATGGGCTTTCACTTTGAGATGTGCTGCATAGTTTACAAAAAAAAAAAAAAAAACAGTCTATGAATGTTTGGCAGCATTATGGCCCTCTGTAAAGATGAACCCACTGTTTAATCTGCTGTCAGTTCAGCTGTACTGAAGCCAGCTGGAAAGGCTGAACGTGATACAGGTGCTGGGTTCAACTGTAGCTCAGTGTAAATGTTTAATTTAATTCTTTTGGATGGTTTCCTCTCTAGACGCTGGTATTTTGATACAATACATTTTTACTGCGATCGGTGCACTCATTAGTACACACCTTCACAGCTCACATGTTGGACCACCCTTGACTTTTGCTAGCTTAAGCTTAGCAGTCTTTCTCCTGCAGCTCTTCAGGGAGTTCCTCCAAACTTCACTGTTACATTTCCTTATCGCACCAGATGACACCTTGTTGATTTTCATTCTCCTATTATTCTCTCAGAAAAGTGATTGCGCCTCATTTCCTGTGTAGTGGTTTATAGAAACAGTGAAGGTCTCGGTGAGGGCAAGGTTCGGGGAACCTTATAAAACATCAGTTATCCAGCGCCAGTATCTGCACCAGTATCTGCAGTGAAAGTGTGTTTTCTTGCTCAGTGTTTAGGGTGTTTTACATCTCTGTCTGATTTCCAGATGGTTCTGTGAATGAAGGGCAACAACTTTTCCTGTGTAATAGTCGAGGATGGGTCAGCATGAGGTTGAGATAAAGAAATGTGTCTTTTATCTGCCAGTGAGACTGGCCAACAAAGGTGTGAAAGTGTTTCTATTTTCCAAACAAACCCCAAAAAATGCCTAGACACTCATTTTCTCCCTCTTTTTCCTACTTGATTCCTATTGCCAACAAAACTTGATCATGCCTTACAGTGTTTACAACAGTTTCACAATATGTATTTAATACTATGTAATGGTTACATCATAGAAAAGGAAATTGAAATGTTTCTCTTAGAGAAGATGTTAGTGCAGTCTGATTCTAATCTATAATTTGAAATTTTATGTAAGACTTCCTGATCAACTGTAGCCTTTTTTCAAACCATAATCATGTCAATCAGCATGCTATTAGGCTTCCCCTTTCAGGCCAATGATTACTACCCACAACTGAAGGGTTGAAAGGATGTGACCGACTGAAAGATAAAAGTCTTTTTGATATACCGATGAGGACTGATGGAGGACTTTTTAGAGACAATGGCATTCTTACAGATTTTCTTTTGTGTGTACGTGTTGGCTGAAGCTCTCTTTACTAGTCTGCAAGTTTGGATTGTCTTAGACATATTTTAAGGATGTGCTGTGTGCTGCTCAGAACATGGCTCTCTGTCCCCAGACATCTGACTCAAACTGCTGTTTCACTCACCAAATGTATACAGCAAGAAGGGAAAAAGACTTAACATTGCTGAAGTAGTTAAATCTTTGCAGATACTACTAAAGCCTAGAGGGGGAAATTTAATGACACTCCTCCTTTAGTGAGGCCTGGAGAGATTTAAAACAGAGAGCTTTAAAGGGGGAGCAGAACAAAACAAACCCACTCAGTACTAATACCATGAACTGATTGCCATGTAGTAAAGACCTGGTAAGTTAAGTCTGCGGAATGACCACGTAAGAATTGCATTTTTGTTTTTATGTGTAAGGGCAAAGGTCCTTTACGTTAAAATTGTGGCCTATGGATTTACAGAATAGCCTGAAAGTCTCATTTAAGCTGTGTCATATGTGTCTGTTTTGAACTTAATTATAAGGTAAGACAGAAAGGTATATATTTGTCATTAAGAAACTATTTATAACATTACCAAGACTGAAACTATTAAGTAGAATAGGTGCATATGGCATTGTATGGAAAGAAATGTTTGTGTGGTTTTAAAGGGCATTAGAAGGAAAAAGTCTTTGCTTTGCCCCTAACTAAATGTTCAGGTTAATTCTAGAGGGTCATGCTGTGGCAGCTGAGAGACTGCCTCTCCGTTTATTACAGTTTAAGCCTAAGGTCAATCAGGAAGAATCCAAATCTTAAGAGAAAAAGAAGACTGAGGAAAAAGTGGAGGATAGAAGAGGACTTAAAAACTCCATGGATACAGCATGATTAGGGTTATAGACTGATTTGCCCATTCCCAGTATTTGACCTGCATTATGCACCTGCACAGCAAAAAAAACTGTGAGGACTATTACCTTTAAAATAAATGTGCTATTGTATACTATTTAAGATGACTGAAAATTTGAAGGAACACACTTGTTGAAGGTACATCATAACAAAACGCAGTACATGCAATTTAGCTGATTATGGTCAATTTTATTCTTACCTAGAGATGCCATTTTCAAATGTAACTGGCACTGCAAAATAAAGTGCAAAAGAATAGAAGTAATTCAGAAGAAAAGGGCAGTAATAACACATTATCCTACCTTGTTACCTGGTCCTTTGTCTTACCATCACTGCAGTTATTCAATCTTCACAAACAAAACGCCTCCAACCAGCCCTGTTAGGGTTTTTTAAAACAAGCACTGGAGAGCAAAGAGGACATTCATTGACTTTAATGGGATGAACTGATCAACCATATCTAATAGAAATCATTGCCCCTGGCAAAAGCTGCTTTAGAATTGAATTACACATGGGACACAATGCTTTTATGGCTTCTTAGAAAACTGTAATTCAATCTGTTTAGTGCAGAGAAGAAACAGATAAAGTACAAATTAAAACATTAAAAAAAGTTTTGGTGTATGTGAAATTTACGTACTATAAAAACATGAAGGTAAAGCGATTGTCTCGTGGACAACGTTAAATCCAAACACCAAGTAGAAATGCACATGCGCTATCGTTTTACCCCATTCTTGTCACGGAAAACTTAAACATCAAATAAATCAACATATTCTAACAAGTTTGTGTTGTGTACGTTTTGTGTGTTTGTTTTTCTCACATACTTGATTTATAGAAAAAGCAATGCTTCGTATAAGTTCGTACAAGTTTCGTTCCAGGTGGAACAATCTTACCACGACTGTACAGTCGGATGTAGGCGTGCAGATTTATGGAAACTTGAGCTATGACAAGCCAAAAAAAAAAAAAAAAGTCGACATCAAACTGGAGAGAAAGCGTTCAATTATGAAATATCACGTGGAAGGGAGAGGGGAAAGCGATTTAAAAGCTCGCATTTTATATCGTCTCTGCTGGAGAAGGCGAGCCTTAAAGTTCCTTCAGAATGGGCAGTCTTCCCTCAGAAGCATCTGGACAACAACAGTATCGGGTCATAGAGTCGTGTCCTTAACTTTACCAAGTATGGGGGGAAAGCCTTTTATTTGCAGGACTTTAAATTGCGTTAGCAACAATGGCATTCAACCATTTATCTTTTTTAAAATTATCCTTATGATTAATGTTTTAGGTAATTGTTAAGTAGATTGTTCAGCGCACAATGCGCTCAGTGCGCGCTGTGACGTAGAGAGGATTTTACTCTGAAGTATGCTTCACTTGTCGTCTCGTATTCCTCACTACATCAGATTCCACAGGCATTTTCCTTAATGGTTTACTAATAATAGTAACTCGGATTCAGTAGGTCTGTTTCCTACAGGACGAATAACGTCGCTTTTTCATCTTCGCAGTTCTAAGAAGTTTCCCGCTGTGCGTAACTGAAACTTTACGCACAAACACTAAATCTCTCTAAACTCTGTTTTTCTTTTCCCTTCTTTTCAGCCCATGTACACGGGAGTATCACCTGTAGTGTCGGCGGAGAACACTTGCGTATCCGCTTTTTGCCGGCGGGATAGCGGTCCTTATTCAAGCGCACCGACCCAGACCATTAACTCCACCAGAACCCGCAGGGGGCCGTGAGAGCACCGCGCCAGCGTGTGCTTCGTACTCACTGCAGAGAAGATGAATATCCAGGTTATGCCAGAGCACAAGCTCTCATCGGTTGCCCCAATGAAACAGTGCAATGTGGAGAAAAAAGAGGTAGAACTGATTCTAGTGAAGGATCAGAACGGCGTCCAGTACACAAATTCCTCGATCATTCCCACCAATGGTGGTCCACCCGGATCCTCCTCCGAGGACAACCGAGAAACTTGGGGCAAGAAAATAGACTTTCTCCTGTCGGTTATTGGCTTCGCGGTGGACCTGGCTAATGTCTGGAGATTTCCTTACTTGTGCTACAAAAATGGAGGGGGTGAGTATGTGGGCTCTGTTTCCAATACGAGTGAATATAAAGATGCTTATTTATTTTTTTAATAACCAGACTGATTCTGTCACTAAATAGTCGTAATGTAACGGCAAAGATAGCGTACAGCGAAAATGAACTACAAATTACCCTAGGTGCCCTTAGTAGATTTTCTTCTGTACTGGTGTTCCTTTATTGATGACGATGATGAGGATGATGATGAGACGTGTGTGTAAATCTGTTTTTTATTATTTATGTTTATTTCCTAAACAAATAAAGTAAATATCCTTTAATTAACTTAATGAGCTGATGATATGACATAAAATTAATGATTTGAAACTGTCAGATAAATAATGGAAAGGGACGAAAAATTAAAGTGGTTTGTGGCTCCTCATAAATTCTGAGGACAAGATAATCAACATAAAATATATATTTTTTCAAATATACTTAATAGCTTTAGCCAATGTATGTAAACTGGACTTTAATGGACTATGGAATGTTTACAAAACTACCAAACACTGCATTGATGCTATTCAGCGGTGAGAGAAAAAAAGTACAATGTGTGGTTAAATAAACAAAGGAATTTAAAACAAAGTGGTGTTTTACTTTCAACACAAATGACAACAGAGTGCTCACTAGAAGGTGCGCCCTGTCCTATGTTTGTCTGCATATGCATTCACATCAACATGTTGTGGTCTGTGTTCACAGTGGTCACCTCTACCGCCGACCTGTCAATCATATAGGCCCTCAGCAAAATGTATTCATTACTGTGAATAATGTGTCAGTTGTGATGGACAATGTCAAGAACAATTCAATTGTGAGAGGTTGTTTCCATTTTGGTGGGTGTGCTACTGAGGCACAGCATGAAAATAGCCATGAGCCATCCCACTTGTATGTTATAGTGTGCTGCTTTTACAAGTATGTTATGGTTTGGGGCCCCTACCACTTCCTTTCTCCTTTTCTTTTTGGATATTGTGTTTTGTTTGCCATTTATTTCACTATCAGGCACCCTTGTTAGTTTTTTTTGGAAAAATATTTAATTGATATTATTTCTCTCCTTCCAGGTGCCTTTTTGATTCCCTATATTCTTTTCCTGTTCATTGCCGGGATGCCATTGTTCTACATGGAGCTTGCCTTAGGCCAATATAACAGAGAAGGAGCAGCTACGGTTTGGAAAATATGCCCCGTCTTTAAAGGTGAACTGTGACACACCCAAACACAGAGACACTCTACAGTTACCTGCACAGCCATGTATGTCTATATACTTCACCTTTCACTGATCTCCTAATCTGTGTACCTGCTTTGGTCATGTTGTTTTTGCTTCTGTTCAGTGTCTTGCCCTTTAATTTTGTCCATCTGTTCTTGTCCTTTCGCCCTCAGAGGTGCATAGTGTCACTTTAAACTAGTGTCTGTCACATTGGCTCTTTCATCTCTCTGTATTTTCTTTAATCCCTCGCCTATTGTACTTCCAACCTTGCAGCCTTCTGCAAATGTCAACTTTCCAAGAGTGAAACAAAACCACACTAGGCCAATGTTAACAGTACGCTAAGGAAAATAGATTATTACAATTTAATCACTCATATTCGACAGAAGAACACTGAAACAACTCCAGTAAAACCCAGTCTATTTTAGATTTACAGAAAAGGACAGTGACCTCACTGGAGTTTGCAGCTAGCTTAAAACCTTTAATTTATTACCACCAAAATGACAAGTGCTTTTCATATTATGTAAACCAACTGCAGCCGTTCAGAATATTTAGATATTTTGTCAGAATAAGAGTGAATTGTTTTTCTCTCCTTGTATTTTTTTTTCCAGTCTTGCCCTCCATATTTTCACTGGCACTGATTCCCTACTGTTATCTTTATGAGGATAACTGACTGCCAATATGTGCCAAAATCTTCAGATGCTGATTTCAACAGTTCTTTGCAAAGCAAAATTCTGCAATGGTATTACAACACAGTTAAAAAAAAATCAGCAGGAGTGCAGAAAACACGCAGATAGTTACTACCTAAAAACAAAACAGATCTACAGCGTGCAATAGAATGCTACAGTAAAAAAATAGTCTGAATAGGTAGTGGCCACTGTTTGGCCACACATTTTCATAGATTATAGGCCTTGTACTAAAATTTGTATGCTCTCCCTTGCAATCTAACAGTGAAAGAACCACTGTTAGACTAAGTCCATCACTATTACCTGCATCAATAAATCATCTTCTCCATCTTCATAGCAACAGTTCAGTATAGCAACATGTTGCTACTCTGGCACATGTTATTATGTATCTTACTGTTCAGTGAGGTAGGTTGTTGCCTTCGTATAATGTTTATACAAGCTACTCCATGTTCGTATATTGTTGTAACTCTAGTGTCAGAAGCTTTAGAACTTTGTTTTACAATACTCATACTCATGACTTACACTTGTGCTCCTGGCAGACTTTAAATATTAGTAGACTAGTGTGCACCTGATGACTTAGACAATGAAATATGTAGGAGAATAAAACTAATTAACTGAGAAGAAACCTAATCTTTTTTTAATCACAATGACTTATGCAACCAATAACTGTTTAAACTTCATTTGACAAAATGTACAAAAAAAGTTAGTATAAAAACTTGAAAAGTTTAACAATAAAGGAGGTATCACGACGTGTATCTTAAAAAAATGCCAGAGAAGTCCCTCTGTCTCCACTGTTAAAACAGCACCAGTCACTGCTTTTGTTGGCTTTTGTGCTAAGGCGGATTTGTTTTTTTTTCCTGCGTAGAATGAGTGGGTGATGGGTTTATGGGCTTGTCTTTTTCATGTAAGGACATTACATTCCAGAGTAGGCAAAATAACCCACCCAGAATCCATGAAGTGGATATAGTGGATATATTTGTGTGTGTGTGGACAGTATTTCTGTTTTCAAAAAACTGGTAAATTTTCAGATATGTGTATTTACCATTTACTACAGTCCCAATGAAAAAATATAGGTGCAGGTCATGGCAATGGCGAAACGATAAAACAAAAACTTGTTCCCAGGGGTATGTCTGCAACCTCTAGTGCTTATTTGCCTGTGTTACCCATTGTTTGTTGATTATATCGCTTTCTCTTGAGTAATGGGTGATCTCCACCTCATTTTCCATAGTTTATTTATTATACTACCAGCTATATACACTTATTTTTACAAATTATCTTGAAAAAAAACCACATTGGAGTGTTTTTTTAAAAAGAACTTGACAACTGCATGAATTCCATATTGTGAGAGTAAGCCATAATTTCTTTCTCATTAATAACCCGATGTTCCTTAGGTGTGGGCTACACTGTGATTCTCATAGCCCTGTATGTTGGCTTCTACTACAATGTCATCATTGCTTGGTCACTCCACTACCTGTTCTCCTCCATGACTACTGAGCTGCCATGGCTCAAATGTGGGAACAGCTGGAATAGTGTGAACTGCACTGAATTCAATGGATCTCTTCCTGATAATAGCACATCATACGCCAAGAACAAGAATACACCGGCAGCAGAATACTATGAGTAAGTGATTTCTGAAATTAATTTGTCAGACAATAAACTATTTAGAGTACTGGATTTTAACAACAAATGAAAATGGGCAGACTTTTTAAATTCAAAGCAAAGGAACATCCTAGCATCTAGCTTTTTTGATGAGTGACAAAATCATTAGATTAAAAACCAGAAGCCTGTCTACATCTGTTTTTTAGTAAAACTCTTATGAAAATCTGAAGGCTAAATATATATTGAGTATATAGTGTAAATTAAATAGTAAATCAGTAAATAGTAAACGTGAAGAATGTCGTGATCTTCATCACAGTATTGTATATAAATGTTTGTTGTTTTGTTTTAACTGATGACAGTGCTTTGGCCTGCTTAAACAGGAACTTACAGGAACTTACATTTAAATACATTTAAGACAGCGTTTAAATGTTTTGTTCATTCAAAACTCAAGTATTTGGGTTTTTTTTGTATTGTTGCTTTATTAGATGCAATTAGCCTGAGTCAGTAAACTGAATACAGTATAATAATTTACATTTTAACTATGACATACTGAAGTGAAGCATTCTAGTTTTGAAGTTGTTCTCACAATAACATTAGAATAACATATACACCTGGCTATAATAACCCAAGTAATACTTACAGATGGAAACTACCAGTTATGGAAACAGAAGTAGAAGACTTCAAAATTGTCCAGCTAGAAATGTTTTCACTGTAAAAGGCTTAAACATAAAAAGTTGAAATGCACTCTTTGAAGTGAATGAAAACACTCCATCTGTTTATACTTCAAAGACAGCCAGTTCTTCCCCAGCTTCTGTGAAGACTAACTGTGCAGTCCAGAGGAAGTCTGTGAAATGATTTGGACAATACAAGGACACATGCTAAGCATGACGCACAGAATACATTGACCGTGCACCACAGCCAATGAGCTTTTCGAGAGTTTTCACTCCCATTCGGCTGAGCATGTATGTTTATTTAATCAGTATCTATAGTTATCTTTCAAACTTCAGGAACCCTTAAACTTGATTTGTTTTAGGTATCAAATACTTTTTATTTAACACAAAGAGGTCAGTATTCACATGCAGGCTCTAACCTTTTGGATTACGTCAGATCCTCAAAGAAGTGATGCAATATTACTTAAAGCATAGACAGGATCCATAAAACCACATCTCAGAATATATATTCCTCATGGATTATTGAACTTCATTCACAGACAACAATGGGGTACTTTAAGACAGATCTCGCACTGCAGGGGACAATAAATCCTCCTGCTTACAGCTAGCTTTGAACACAGGAGCAATGCCAAAGCACAG